GTCCGTTTCATGATTTTATAATTAACCTAGACTTTAAGTTGATTGTGTCATTATCTGTCTTTGATTTTAATGTTGTATATGCCATTAAAGGTTTATTGATTGACACACCTGCAGCCTCTCCCATGCTCTGAAGCCCTGACTGCTACGTCACATTGGCTGTCATATGGGGGCCACCTCAGCAGCATATAAGGATACAGAGCCCACCATTTTCTCCAGGGGAACTGATCTCTGCCATCTGGAAAGCAGTTGTAATTCTGAGTGATCTCCAGCCCTCACCTGGAGATTGGACACATTTTACCTCAGAACAGCAAACTGTTTAGAATGTTAGAGGCAAAAGTCAATCAAGTCGCATATGCAAACGACCTCTGTGTTCTGAGGCAAAGGCCAATGAGGCTGCATATGCAAATAACCTCTGTGTTCTGACTGGCTATGGGGGGGAGAGGATTAGCAAAATGTTTAGAATGTTGGAGGCAGGACTCAGTCAAAACAGCCAGTAGATAGGGAGACCCTCTGAATGACAGATCAGAGAGCGAATTGATTTTGGAGCATGTGGAATGTTTTAGAGAAGTGCCACCACCATTCAGCTTTTATTTATAAGGGAGATGGGCCATTTTGAGAATATGGAATAAACATAAACCTAGGATTTGTCTGAAAACACCCCTATGGTTATCACCACAAGAAGCTCATTTTAGAAGAGAAGTGACAGGTTTGTATAAATAGTTAACATATTGGGATATGTTGGAATTTCTGCAAGGTGAGTATAAATTAAAACCAAGGGAAGACTTGACAACAGAAGGATATAACTGTCAATAGTTTTACATTTCCAAATCTTAAAAAGGTTTAAAGTAGATAAAAGATATTATGATTTTGAACAATACAAGTCTGAATTTGAAACAGAACTATGTACAAATGATGAACATGTCATTGCTAAAATGTATAAACTCTTGTTGAAATTTGAGACAGAGGAAGGATAGGTGAAAGAATGTATGATAAAATGAGACAAAAATTTGGGATATGACATACAAATGGAATAATGGGAAAATATGTGGTTAAAAGGTTTAAAATTTACATTAAATTCTAGTCATGAAGAGATTGTTTATAAGATGATCTATCGTTGGTATATGTCTCCAGAGAAACTGGTTAAAAGGTATAAAGGTACTTTGGAAATGTGAACAGCATGAAGGAATATTTTACCATATGTGGTGGACATGCAAGAAAGCTAAAACATACTGAGTACAAATGCGATTATGATTAATACACAAATGAAACTAGAGTCTTTTCTTTTGGGACTGATGGACAAACAGCTGGAAAGAACAAGAGTCCAGTAGTAACGTACAGACTAGCAAAATATGAGGCAGGGCATAAGCTTTTGTGAATCACTGCTCACTTCTTCAGATACTCAGACTAATATATGCAGAGAAATGGAAGAGTCCAACATTGCCTACAATAGAGGCATGGTTAGAGAAAATGTTGGAACTTGCAATGATGGCTAAGCTTACTTCATTGATCAGAGAAAAGACAATTAGCTTGTTTATTACTGACTGGAAACCCCTTACAGACTTTTTGCATGAAATAGATAATAATTATTTGATGATCTGTGGGTTCGGTGAATAAGAAATTTAGATAATAGAAAAAGATAAACATAGAGAATGAGAAAATTTTGTAATCAAACATATTTGTTGTAGAGAAAATCTGAAGGCTCCTATTAATATCTCTATCTATATATTTCTGCTCTATGTTTTTGTCATTTCTGACTATTTGTTTGTTCTCCTGTTTAATAAAAAAAAACAAATGAAGACGCCTGTTCCCACTCAACAGGGAGAAGCAGGGGGACCGGAAGCCCCTCAAAGAAAGGCTCTGAGCACTGTGATTGTGGTTGGGACTGCAAGGTAAGCCACCCTCCCCAAGGTCATGCTCACAGGGATGCTGCCAATGCCAGAAAAAGGGGCAAGGGGAGAGTTTTGGGGGAAAATCATTTGCTCCATTGCCAAGATGATTGCTGCAGATGGCCAACTGTTCTCCCTCGTGGAGGATGTGGTCTTCAATGGGCTGCTGTACCACCTGGCTCCCTAGTACAGCCTCCTCTCCAGGAGGACCATGATCTGACAAGTGTTGCCCTCCATGAGATGCTCCATGGTGGAGCTGGTCAAGGCTGAGCTCTCCAAAGCACGAGGCCAAACCGCCCATCTGACAGCAGACCTCTGGAGCGGATGGCACCACGGCTACGTCTCCCTCACTGCCCACTAGTGGAAACTGGAGGAACTCCATAGTGGGACCACAGCCACGCCCCAGGAAGAGAGAGGCCTGCCATCTGGCTACAAGATGTTTCTCCTCCATGCACAGGGGATGGATGAGGGCAAGCATGATCCCCATTTTCCCTATGGGCATGCATACCCCTGTTTTTCCCTATAAGCAACTGCTGTCTCAATTTTTCCATATGGCCCAACATGCCCCCCCTTTCTTTCCCATGGGCAAGCTTTCTCTTCATTATTCTCTATGGGCAAGCGGGCTTCCCATTTTTTCCATATGGGCAAGTATGCTCCCCACTATTCCTTACTGGCAAGAGTGCTCCCCATCTTCCCCTATGGGCAAGCATGCCCTTATTATTTTCTATGGGCAAGCATTATCTCCATTTTTCCTTATGGGCAACTGTTCTCTTCATTATTGTCTATGGTGAACCGTGCCTCCCCCCAATTTTTCCATTAGGGGCAAGTGTGGTCCCCATTTTTCCCTTTGGACATGTGTTATCCCCATTTTTTCCTTCTGGGCAAGTATATTCCCTATACCCCTATATGCAAGCACGATCCTCATTCTTCCATTTGGACAAGCACGCCCTCCATTCATCCCTATGGACATCCATTCTCTCTATGGGGAAGTGTGCCACCCAGTATTCCCGATGGGCAGTGACATACCTAGCCTATTTGGCACCTGAAGCAGATAATTTTTAACACCCCTCTCTTCTATTTTTTTTAACACCAAGTCACAGCTGACTTATGGTGACCTTGTAGGGTTTTCAAGGCAAGAGATGTTCAGAGGTGGTTTGCCATTGCCTGCTTCTGTGTTGGCCCTGCTTATCTTCTGAGATCTGACAAAATCAAGCTAGGCTAGTGCTATCCATGTAAAGGCCCCTCCTCTATACGACAACATTATTTTCATTAATAATTATGAAATAAAATGAATAATAATCATGGCCAGAAAAGAACGGCAGACAGTGAAAAATGCATTTAACTTCATATATATAATCATGCCCGTAAAATAAAAAATCAAATTCCAACATGCTATTACATCACAAGAGCCAGCAAGGTGTAGTGGTTAAAGTATCAAACTAGGATTTGGGAAATCCAGGTCCAGATCCCCACTGTTATGTACTAACAAAGGACCACACACGCGGTCAGGTGCGCACGTGGTCAAGCGCACTAGGAAAGCTTTGAAAGCTTTGTGACCCGAAACAATAGACTTATAGGATCCTAAAATGGACCAATAGGTTAGCCCAGATCTGCAAAGGAACCTAAGGTTATTGGTGCACTGTAAATAAACCTATCACAGGTGTGGGGTGTGTTTGTTGGGTGTGGCTTGGACTGAAATATAAGCAGACCCCCGGGTCCTGCTTCCTTGTCTCAGTTTTGCCTACTAATAAATTATGAGCTGAAATCGACTATGCGTCTTGAACCCAGTACATTATACCCACTCATGCCATGGAAGCTTGCTGGGTGACCTTGGGCCAATCACATTACTCTCAGCCTAGCCCTGACCTGGATAGCCCCAGGATAGTCTGAGCTCATCAGATCTCAGAAGCTAAGCAGGGTTGACATGGGTCTTGCTGCAACACCCTAGGTACTACTTTGCAAGATCTGGCTGAGTTGGGTGAAAGGAAAAGAAGAGAAAAAGCCTCTATATAGGGGGGGGGGGGGGGAGGATGACATACAGGCTGGCTATTACTGGCAGCTATGTTCTGGCTTGGTTGTTGGGCTTAGTAAACACGACTGCTGCAGTCTTGGAGAAAGCGAAATGTAGACTAGCTTATCCTGCTATGCTGAGACGTCCCTGCGTCCCTAGTGGCTGCAGCCAGAACTGCATTTTAAAAATAAAACGTTGAGCAGGAGGATGCTGGCTTTTGAGAGCTCTCTTCAAAGGTCTTCCTCAAGCGGCACCCAGGGCTGAAAACACACACACACACACCCCACACGCCACGGGCAAGCATGTATCGTGTCCTGGCAACCTCTCCACCACAGCTTCTCTATCACCTGTCACTTCCTCCCAGCTGTCGCGGCGGCTCCCAAGTTCGGAGTGAGATGTCGAAGCTCTGTCTTTGGAGCCTGCTCTGGACCTCGCCGCGGGAGCTCGGGACGTGGTTTGGTTTCTGGGGTCTGTAGAGGCGCCTGAGCCGCCTCTGACAGGGTAACCTCCAGTTTCATTAACCAGCTGGCCTCCTCGAGTGGCCATGCTGTCCCTCACATTTAGACTCCTGGGGCAGGGCTTGTCTGCTCGCCTTCCGAGGACTCCCGTTTCTCCTACAGATGCCACTGAGGACTAGCCCGGCACGGCCAACTGATCCACCCTGGGCAAGCTGTCTGCACAAAAAGGGCGGGGCCTGCTCCTCCCCCGACCGGCCTTCCTTCTGTGCCAATCCATTCCCAGCCCAACGTGTGGCGGCTCAAACTTTGTTCCAATCCGAAGGGAGAGGGGCGGAGTTTCCAAAGTTGGGACGGAGCTCCCCTGCGCTCCGGGCGCTGGCCATTGGCGAGGCGCGCAAAGCGCTCATTGTGTGTATGGTAATCAGCGTGGCGGAGGTCCCCTGCCCTTCGCTGCCTCGCTGGGGCTGCGGTGCCTCCTCCGCCTTATGCCGCCCGCGTAGCAGCCGCGGCTTCCCTTCTATATAAGCGCCAGAGCGGCTCCCGGCCACTCGTGAAGATGAAGGCGCCTCCGCCCCTCAGCGCTGCATCCCGAGGCTCCGCCGTCGCGCCCGGCTGGGAGAAGGCATCTCAATGCAGCGGTCGCGGCTGGAAAGCATCTTTCCGGACAGTGGCAGTAGCAGGTCCCGCGGCTGCCATGAGCTGCTCGGATGTGGTGAGGCACCACCCGCCCCAGCTGAAGCTGCCCAGTGCGACGGCTGCGGCAGCCTGTCCCGCGGCTCCTTGCCCCTTTCCTGCGCTGCCTTTCCCGCAGAGCCAACAGGTGAGACCTCCGCGGGCCGGCGGGGAGGGGGAAGGCTGAACGCGGCAACAAGGGACGAGAGAGCAGGATGGGCGGGGAGAAACCAGACTGCGGGGAGAGTTTGGATTAGAGATTCGCAGGAAGAGATTTTTCTTGGTCAGGGACAGGCCCCCCCCGTGGTGAATCTTCCATTCTCATACTATAGATCCAGGTGGGCAGCAATGTTCCCTCTAAGCTGTGGAGTCTTGGGAGCAAAAATTCTACTTTGTGAGCTACTGGCATTAAAGTTGTGAGCCAGCGATTTGGCTGCTGCATCAATTAGTTTGCTCTGGAGCCATCCTCCCTGAGCTAAGACAAAAATGTGTGAGTCGGAGGCTAAAAAACTATGAGCTAGCTCACACTAACTCAGCTTAGAGGGAACACTGGTGGGCAGCCGTGTTGGTCTGAAGTAACGCAACTAAGCTTGAGTCCAGAGGCACCTTTAAGACCAACAAAGTTTAATTCTGGGCACAAGCTTTCGTGCACACGAAAGTTTATACCCAGAATTAAACTTTGTTTGTCTTAAAGGTGCCACTGGACTCAAACGTTGTCCTGTTGTCATGCTATGTTTGCGTGGACGTCCCTTGATCACTCCACACTTGAGGGCCCTAGGTCTCAGCTGATTGGATGAACGGACTCAATTAATTGCCTTTGATGCGGAAGTTTTATCGGTGGCGTCTGATCTTTTGCCTGGTTCACACATGCGGGTAAATGAGGTAGAAATGCCGAGGGAGCAGAATGGACAGGAGACTTCAGGCGTCTGGTGGGGCCGCAAACATCAGGTGGCAGATTCCAGCTTTAACTGTTGCTCCGCATAAATAAAACCTTCCTGCAAATAGATAACGAGCAATGCAGGTTTCCCACTTGTATTTGCTTGCTCCGGTGGTTTTCTATTTGCGGGAAGTTTTTAACACATGGAAGTGTTCTCCTATGTTCTTTTGTTATTCCAAAATGTGATTCTTGATGACTGAAATGGTTTGATTCATTCTACCACTTAATTCCCATCTCACTCACCTGCCTGCAGTGTTTCCCTCAGTACATGCCAATCACCCCTTGTGAAAGGGTTCCTAAGTAGGTGTGACAGTGTGAATGTGCCTCAGTACTCATATTTTATGAAAACATACAACTTTTCTCACATTTGCCCACTGGACACCCCCCCCCTTGTGTAACAGTCTCTCTGGTAATTGTCATATACATTTGCTTGAATAGTAAAATAAAAATAGTGAAATAAAAAGTTGTGTGATAGAATCCATCTTACTGTTTAACACACCAGTCCTGTTCACCTTACAGTTATCACTTGTACACCCTGCTTGTACATCTGTTTATAAGAAAGAGCCAATGTGCATTAACTTTATGAATGAAACTGGGGACCAGTACCTGGATAAACATGGAGTCTGTGTCACACGTTCAGCTATACATATTTTGAGTCTAATATAAGAATTCCTCAACACACATACAAAGAACAATCAAGTTCATACTGGACATGGATTGTGTGTGTATTCACTGTAACGTGAATGGGGCTTCAGTATGTCAGTGCTGAATTTAGTTACACAAAGAAAATAACCTACTTTTTGAAAGAAAGCAAGGCTAAGGAGATAGGTCCTGTGGAATTCATGTGAAGCCTCACCATACTGGTGTCCAAGTAACTGCATGTTTTCAGGTTTGGAAGACAGCACACTTGTATGTGTGCAATTAGTAGACACCAGCAGTACCATCCTATACAGAGTGCTTAGGATGGCAGTATCAGGTCCTTAGAGTATGAAGCCTGGTTTTGTGGTGTGTGAGAAGATCCTGTCCAGTGGCTGTGTGCCTGCACCACAGAGTGAGTGGGTTTTGCTGTGTGACTGGTGTGAAAGTACTAGCAGCGATGACTCCTGATATTTAGTACTGGCAATATTCAACCCCTCTCCTGACATGGTAAAATGTAGTAATCTTTGTCAATGTGTTCTTTCAGTAGTACCCCTCCACCTTTAGCGGGTGGCTTCACCTGCTTTTGGTAGGGTCAGCCTATGATGTGAGGGAAGAAAGGCCAGTCAAGTGGGAATGTGTGAAGTACACAAAGAATGCACGGCTGTGGGCCTTGCAAAGGGAAAGTGGTATGAAGCAGCAAAGGAGGCCATGTGAGTGTGTCTCTAGAAAGAGTGGTGCATGCATGTTTGTGGAAAGTGTGTTGATGGTCTTCACTACGTGTGTTCCTGCCAAAATTAGGGCTGCTCTCTGGACTTTGGAGATTGGGGCCTGACATTCGGGGCTGATCATCATGCGATGGCCTCCAGGTGTGCCTAAAAAGGGTGAATGCCCTCACCATCTCCTAGTCTGCGTCTCTCCTCTGGTACTTGAAGGGGGGGGTTGGTTGCTGCCCATAGAAAGAGCGTGTCCATGTGAGTTCAGGTCACTGCAGTGGTCAGTGGGATGGCAGAAGGAGTTGCAAACTGGAGCTGGGATTAAGAAGAGGGGGTGGGAAAGACATGATATAGCCAAGGGTCAAATATTGAAACAGATCACTGGGCTGGAGACCAAGAGGATCCATACTTGAGTAGTAATTCCAGAAGAATGTCATTTTGTTGTAGCAATTTTTTTTTTTAGTCTTGTAGTGCTTTAGAACTCTTTTGAGAGAAGTGTAATAAAAACACATGTTGTATTTGGCATGTGTGCATTATACCAATCTAAATTCCAGGGTGTCTGTGGTGTAAAAAAATAACACCCAGCATATCTCATTACTAATTACTATCTAATTGCTGTTTTTTTAAAAAAAATCCGAAGCATTAATGTTTTTGCAGTACACTGTTCACAAGTAAAGCCCAGGGTTTACTGCAGCCTATAAGCAACTTTAAAACTCTTCAGTGCCTTCCTGAATCAGTTGTCTTTTGCAAAAACTAATGGTACATTTTTACCCCAATATTTTACGTTAGCTGGGACAAAACCAGTAGATTTTTATGGACTTGTTTTGTGCCCCAGGTACTTTTCTGTTTACAGAAGAAACTTGTAAGTGCTTGTACTTTGGGGACATCCTTTACTAATGTGCAATAGCTAATATACTAAAGATGCAAAATTTTAAAGTCACCTCTCTATGCATCATACCAAAAAGAATACAACAGAACATTTTTTACCCCACTGATTTTGTTTTAAAGTTTTTATTCCAGCATAATTTTTTTGTGGGCTAGACTCCAGTTCCCAGATACTCTAGTCCATGAGCATTTAGGCTGGCATAAAATATACTTAGTCCTTAAGGTCCCACTAGATTTCTGTTTATTCTTATCGGGGTAGCTGACAATGTGTTCATCCTGGTTGCCAAGAATTCCAAACAAATGCCCACTGATTTCAATAGGTTTGGCAATTTCATTCTTAACATATTTACTTACATATTTCATTGGGATTTACTCATGTGTAAATATGTTTAGAATGAAATTGCCAAACCTATTGAAATCAATGAGCCTTAGTATTTAAGATCATGGGATGTAGAGGCATAATTGGAAAAAAAATATATACCTAGGATAACTCAAATTACTAGCTGTCAGTTTTATGTGTCTCCATAAATTCATTTTCTAAATAAGTTTCTCTAAACGAGTTCCTCTGTGCCTGATTAAGAACACTACTTTCTGTGCATGGACAATGCATTGTGGTTTTGGTATTTTTGTGCAGAACATAGCACATTATTAGTAACAATGACATGTTAGTGCCTTCTCCATGTCTGTAGTAAACAACACTCTGTAGGACACCTCACAATTAAAGCAACCCCTCCCTTCTAACCCTTAACTTTGTGCTTTCTTCAAAAGCTGCTTTATAGTACCTGTAATCAGTTTCTTAAGAAGCCTAAAGGCAAGAAAGAGAGGAAAAAAGCAGACGTCTTCTTTTCTTGAGATTGATCAAAACCTGTTTTACACTTTAACTTAAGTATCTGATGTAATGAAATAAATCAGGAAATTCTTATCAGGCTGACAGCATTTTTAGACTAAGCTGTGCGTGGGTGAAGTGGGACTAATATTGATTTGGGCCCAATGTAGTCATCTGAGAATACATTTTTTTGGTTTTTGCTGCATTCCATAAGGTTTTATCATTATTATCCATGAAAATTGTTTTCTCTGTATATGGGAAGAGACTCTTCATACCAGTTTGCCCGGAACACATAAATATGGGCTCATATGCAAAGCTTCCAGTTTCTGTTTTATAATTTCTTCTTTATCTGTTGCCAAAAAACTTCCAGCAATACTTGGATAACCTTTTCAGGTCTGTGGTACAGGAAAGTGAGATTTGTATTAGCCTAGCTTTGAAGTTGCAATTTAACAAGTTACCTGTTTTTTAATGGTAGGAAAGTATGTATAAGTAGGTATTATTGCAACATAATACAATCATGACAGTATGTCTGTTATGATCAATGCTCCCTGTAAACTGTGGAGTCTTGTGAGCAAAAAATTTACTTTGTGAGCTACTGGCATTAAAGTTGTGAGTGAGCAATTTGGCTGCTGCATAAATTAGTTTGCTCTGGAGCCATCCTTTCTAAGCTAAGACAAAAATGTGTGAGCTAGAGGCTAATAACTGTGAGCTAGCTCACACTAACAGCTTAGAGAGAACACTGGTTATGATCCTACTATGTGATTCCTGCATCATTTAAAAAGTCATGCTACTGTTTATGCTTTGTTTGAACTTGAGTTCAACTTTGTTTTCAGATTTCTGCAAACCAAACCCTGTTGCATTGTTTATTGGTCTTTCATCCCTGTTGATTTAATTTTATTGTGCTGTGTTACACCATGTATCTCAGTGAAAAATGTAAATTATAAATGATATAAATAAAAATACACAAACAGTATAAAAACAGAATTGTTGCAAACCTGACATTTTAAGCACTTTTAAGATGTGTATCCATATCAATTTACTTTTTAATATCACTTGGTGTGGATAGTCCTGGCTGTGGCAGTGCAACAATTTTGAAAGAATTAAGCACCTGCTGAGGAAGACGGATGGACTATAGATCCTTGCTCACC